ATATAGTATGATCTATTGTATCAAAAGCTTTCTTCAGATCCAAAAAAATCCCAACCGTGAATTCCCTATTGTCTATGTTAGTTGCTATTGCTTCCACAAACTCCATTACTGCCATTAAGGTTGTACGTTTTTCTCTGAAGCCATATTGATTTTCACTTAACAGCCCGTGTTTGTTTATAAAGTTGTCAAGTCTGTGAGAGAATAATTTTTCTAATATTTTTGAAAATTGTGGTAGCAGTGATATTGGTCTATAATTTGTAAAGAATTGTCTTTCTCCACTTTTAAAAATTGGGATGACTTTAGCTGTTTTCATTTTTGATGGAAAAACACCGGCTTTGAATGACAGGTTGCATATGTATGTAAGAGGTCGCACTACATATTCTATAATCTGTTTTACTCTTGTCATATCAATATTAAAACAGTCTGTTGACTTTTTACTTGTATATGTTTTTACAATATTTAATATTTCATTATGATTCACAGCAGTAAGAAACATTGTGGAAGAGTTTTTTTCTGTGTATTTATTTCGAAAGAATTTATTGGATCAGGAATTTGTTTTGCTAAGTTACTACCGATATTCACAAAATACTCATTAAATTCCTTTGCTATTTCTGCAGTTTCCTCAATAATGGTATTTTTATCTTTCATAAAGTACTCCGGATAATCTGCTTTTTTAGAGCTATTTCTAATTACATGATTTAATATTTTCCATATTTCTTGAGTGTGTTGCTTTTATTTTGCTCTAATAATGCATGAAAATGGTCTCTCTTACTAGTTCTTATAATATTTACTAATTTTTTTTGAGAGGTCTTATATTTTGTTTCAGCTTCTTTGGTTCTGAATTTTAGAAACGATTTGTATAAATTGTTTTTCTTTTTACATGCATTTTCTATGCCTTTTGTTATCCATGGCTTACTTTGGTCTATGTACTTTTTGGAGACCTTAATTACTGGGAAATGTCATGTAAGGAGGTTATGGTTGACTGAAATGCGTCAAACGCAGTATTTGGATCTTCATTTGTATGGACCTCAGACCAATTTTGTTTGTTTAGGTCGAGCTTGAAAGCTGCGATGGAGTGTTGGGTTCTGTGTCTTATTTCTGATATGTGGTTTGTTGATTTTGTTTTTCTTTCAAAGTAATTATAAAAGACTGCAAAGACCGGTAGATGGTCACTTATATCAGTTATGAGAAGTCCACTTTCCTTTTTATGATCAATCTTATTTATAAATATATTATCTATTAATGTGGCCGTATCAATTGTTATTCTACTGGGTTTCAGAATGACTGGGAAAAGACTGTTGCTATACATTGTATTTATGAAATCTGTTGTTTTTTTTATGTCCATTTGGGTTTCATAAGTCTATGTTAAAGTCGCCACATATTTGTGTTTTCTTGTCATTAGAACAACTTAGCATATCTGTCAGTTTTTTATTAAATGTGTCAAGACAAGATCCTGGTGTCCTATAAATGCAACTTATAATGAC